TAAAACACTGTATAGGTTAAGCACTCGTTCAATGTTATAATAATTTATAAAATTTTAAAGTAATAAAAACGATGACATAACATTCGCATTCGCGAATGTGAAAAATATGGCATTCGAGACATCCCTATTAAATACACAACAACCGTACTAGACTGTCTCGCTTAGATTTCGGAATGCTTACACATTGGGAAGTTAGCTTACTGCCAATATAGAAGTATTACATATTTGGGCGCATGTAATAGACTTGAATTGATATGAAAAGTAATATAGGTATCAGAACTGTAAAACTGTAAAATCATATGAAATTAAAAATCATCGAATTTATGTTATTATGTTTTCATTGAATTTTTCCTTGTTGGGGAATGTTGCTTATAATTTTCCAATTGTACATTCACTCAAAGTAGATACGATTACACACATAACCATATTCAAAGAAAGATTGAAAAAAATGAATGACGAAACATTAAGTTTTAACACTGAATAAGCATTCAGATGAATGCAGCTTTTGCTATGTGTGCACACATTCATTCAGTACCAATCAATCGATATAAATATTCTAAACACAAACCCACTGAAAAATACGCAAGGTTGAATTTTATTGAACAGATTTTAAAATTTCAACACGAAAAATAGTTTATTGAGCGTTATCATTAATTTGTTTGTTTTAAATTTGTGCAAGAATTTATAATAAATAAAAATATTAATTGGAGAAATATTTTTAGTGACAAGAATGTCATTATGAAAAATGTAAATTATTAACGATTTTAACATCTCTGTTTCGAAAATTGTCAGCTTTCTAAATAAGTATTACATATGTATCAATAAAGGGTATGTGCAGGAATTATTACATATGTACCTGTATATCTACGTTAAAATAAATAAACAAATTTAAGCGCGTTTGCTTCTAACTTTAGACATATACATTTTAATTATTTAGTTATAAAAATTCTTAATACAAGTTTCTTCGTACTTTTTTCTTCGCTATCGGGACAAGCAGTTAATAAAGATTCTAAAACCTGATTTGTGGGTTTGTGGTGGTTTCTGCCATTTACAAAAAGTCGCAAATTATCAACTTTTCCC